GATGACTAATACAACAAACTTTCTGGTTTGTATTCCATGATTTTATTGGTGTGTTTGGTAAGTATTTTCTTGAGTGTGATTGGTTTATAAATATTGTATTTGATATTTTAGTTGACACGACAAATTTATATGAATGGTAATGATAATATTACCCATTTCCTTATAACGAAACATTCGGCATTCATTTACCAAGCAGTCAATGCTTAGTTTTGTTTATCTTTGTAAAGAGTATTTTATCATTAGAAATCGTCAGGTTCATACTCCTCCCCGATTTTTTTTAACAGTAGTAGAGGTTTATCCCTTGTTTCCTGTTTAGGATTGGGTTTCCAGTTCCTTCAACTCTGTATTACTGACGTTTCCGCCCGAAATATGAAATTTTATTCAGCAATTATTAATATTTTTTTCTCTCCCAACAGTAGTAGACAGGTTCTCCTATCGTCCAGTTCTCACTCCACCCCGGTCTTTTGAACAGGAGTTGAGGTTTATCCCTTGTTTGCCATTTATTCTTGGGTTTTCCAGTTACTTCTAAAGCCTACTTCAACTCCATACTCCTAACGTCTCCACCTGAACTCTGAATCGTCTGGGTATGACGATAAACTACATCCGCGTCCTCGGTGAGACGATAAACTGCATCCAACAGCAGGGTCTCTGATCAGGAGGTTTTGAGGAGCATGAGACCACTTCTTGGTTGCTGGTGTTCCCAGGTCCACCCTGACTCGGGGTGGTGACACCTGTTAGAATCTCAGCTATGCGCGAGTGTTTAACTCCACCAAATTAGTGTCAGGTCACTGTGAAAGTGTAAAAATGGGTTTTAATACCAGCAATGAATTTTGAAGAAAAAAATTTATTACAAGCAATACATTATTAACAGAAATACATTTTTGGAAAAAATATTACCAGCAATAAAAATATTGTCGGCATTAAATAACCCACTGAGGTTGATATGCCGTAAAACAAAGCAAACCAAACCAAACCTGAGCTCTGAAATTTTATTCGCTAATTAAATCTTTACCACTTCAAGTTTAGAATTATCTGTCTCTCTTTCCTGTTACCTTGCCTGTTCTGATGCTAATGCAATTCACACAGTAACCCTCTACAATGAGTGGCTCTTCGGCCTTGTACTTGGTGAACATTAGGAAAAATAAGTATTGTGGTTAAATTTTTAAAGTTGTTATTGACCCTACCCACAGACAAATTGTACATATGGGGACTAGCTAGGACTTTAGTGAATAATTGTAGTATTATGTCGGCTTTAGTAAGAATGATAAGTAAAAGCGTGTTTTGATGTACGGAATATTATAGTTTATTTGTTTGGGTCAGTGATTGTGTCTAGCTATGTTTAATGTAGGATAGATGAAGACCAACTTCTTCCCAATCACTTTTGGCATTATAATATAACTTACTAATTCCACATCCTGAATTTATATGATAGATTCAGAGTAGGTACCATCACTGCTTTCATTCCAATACCAGACCATAGTTTCAGTTTTGGAAAGGTTTATCTTGAGTCGTATTTCTTGGAAAACTAGGTAGAATAAAAAACATTCATAACAAGCACTAAAAATTTTCTATTTTCATGATTTTTTATAAGGAAAGAAAACCCTACATTTTCTGCGTTGAGGTGTTATCATTATCTACATTCGTGCTAATGTCCTGATCTTTTGTCATGACATTTCAGCCATTCTGACCTCTGGCCTTCTTCGTGTAATTTCGAACTAAATTCTTTGTTCAATCTAAGGGTGTATATTCCATCCATTCAACTGCCCATGTTAAGGAAAATCTTGTCTTTTTTTATTATTCATTAGCAGCCTGGCCCGGCGTTGCCCGTGCTTGTTTCAAAAATCGTACGACTCATACAGCAATCGCTATCACTTGACTTAAAATATTTTTTCCCTTCTTTGCCTTTAAAGGAGTGCCCTTTTCCGTGCTGATGTTGCTACACGCCTTACTTCTTGCCTATCTCACACCGCGATTTTTTTCTAAGCTCTATACTAAACATTAAATCTGTTACGAAAATGGACTAAACAAAATGAACACAAAACGATCAGCTTTAAAAAAGGACTCGTAACTGGAAAAACCGAATGAAAAAAGAATGTTAACAACAAATACTTTTTCACATCCAACCCAGTTCTGCGGAATCAGAATCAACGTTGAGTTTAAGCAAGCGAATGAACCAATTGGAATAAAGTGCCATGCAGATTTAAATTTTTCCCACTTGTGACGAATGCAGCTATCGATTTTTTTTTTGCATGCAAGCATGCTAGTTAACATTCCTGTCAGTCAGCTGTTGGCTCTCACGCTGGCCAATAGAATCTTCCTGCCTATTCGTGGCAGCCAACTATAGGTTCTCACTCTGGCCAATACAAAATGGCCGCAAACTACATGAAAACTGCCGTAGAAGCATGAAAAAATCGATTATTTCCACTATCAATCGAAGTTGGGAAATGCAATGTCGGTCTTGGCCTTCCCACTAACTTGGAGCATGTGCATGTAAATTTTGGTGCAAATCCGTCGAAAATTGCGGCCGTGCATTCGTTACACACACACACACACACACACACACGCACACACACACACAAATCCTGCCATTTATAGATAGAGATAGATTAAATAAAAGGTGCAATTCGAAATTTCCTGAAGAAGGCTGAAGAGCAGGACGGCTGAAACGTTGTGATAATAACAAGGATGATGAGGATATTAGTCTGAATGTAACTAATAAAAATAATGATAAATCCTCACCCCAGAAATTCAGACAGAAATTCTGTTAATTTCTATGACATCACGGGAAATATAGTGGGGTGATTTCCCATTTCAGAGGAGTCCTTCTCTTAGACTGGTTGCCACTCAAGGCTAGAGAGCCCAATATATCTCGCTATTTAACCCATCGAGAGTGATAAGAAATGTATTCTTATTTGTTCCCAAGGAATTTATATGAAAGGGAATATAACAGACTAGCCGTGAACTGGAACTCGGCTCGCTGATTTCATTTTCCGGGCCGATAACTGTTGCGCTACCCACACATCCCTCCGTCTTTTCAGAATGGACGATTCCGAAAAGTTGTTATTTTTTTTTTTTTTAGTTCTCATCTTCAATATGAGGCATGGTAAAAATAGTGGTGATTTAAAGAATATTATCATTATATCTATTCAAATGTTTTCTTACATTTCCACTTCTTCCTCTTTTTCTTCCTCCTCTTCTTCCACTTCTTCCTCTTTTTCTTCCTCCTCTTCTTCCACTTCTTCTTCTTTTTCTTCCTCCTCTTCTTCCACTTCTTCCTCCTTTTCTTCCTCCTCTTCTTCCACTTCTTCTTCTTTTTCTTCCTCCTCTTCTTCCACTTCTTCCTCCTTTTCTTCTTCTACTTTTCTCTTCTTTTTCCACTTCTTCCTTTCATCCTCTTCATCTTCTTCTTCTTCATCCTCTTCTTCCACTTCTTCTTCATTTTCTTCTTCTTCTTCTTCTTCTTTTCTTCCTCCTCTTCTTTCACTTATTCCTCCTTTTCTTCTTCTACTTTTCTCTTCTTTTTCCACTTCTTCCTCCTTTTCTTCTTCTACTTTTCTCTTCTTTTTCCACTTCTTCCTCTTCATCCTCTTCTACCACTTCTTCCCCATCTTCTTCTTCTTCATCCTCTTCTTCCACTTCTTCTTCATTTTCTTCTTCTTCTTCTTTCTTCTTCTTTCCTTCCTTCTTCTACTTTTCTTTTCTTTTCCACTTCTTCCTTCCCTTTTCTTCTTCTATCTTTTCTCTTCTTTTTCATCCTTCTTCTTCTTCTTCTTTTCTTCTTCTTCTTCTTTTCTTCCTCCTCTTCTTTTCTTATTCCTCCTTTTCTTCTTCTTCTTTTCCACTTCTTCTCTTTTCTTCTTCTACTTTTCTTTTTTTCCCTTCTTCCTCTTCATCCTCTTTTTTTACCATTCTTCCCCATTCTTCTTCTTCATCTTCTTCTTCCACTTCTTTCTTCATTTTCTTCTTCTTCTTCTTCCTTCTTCTTTCACTTATTCCTCCTTTTCTTCTTCTACTTTTCTCTTCTTTTTCCACTTCTTCCTCTTCTTCTTTCTCCTCTTCTTCCTCTTCTTCTTCCTCCTCTTCTACCACTTCTTCCTCATCTTCTTCTTCCACTTCTTCCTCATCTTCTTCTTCCACTTCTTCCTCTTCTTCTTCATCCTCTTCTTCCACTTCTTCCTTTTCTTCCACCTCTTCTTCCTCTTTTTCCACTTCTTCCTCTTCTTCTTCCTCCTCTTCTTCCTCTTTAGACGCAGGATATGACGAGGCTTTAGGTCACGGAAGAAACAAAACAACAACCTCTTTTCGTTAATTGCTTTCAAGTAAGCCTAATTATATTTGCTATAATTCTCAGTTGACGGCAACTCTAAAATCGATGTCTGTGCTCCCGAAAAAGTTCGTGTTAACCAAGCAATTAGTGTGGAATTTCAATAAATATGGAATTTGCCCCCAAATCGCAATGAATGGTGAAAGGAATGAAAAATTGAAAGTGAGAAAAAGGGAGGATACAAAATATGAAAAGAATCTTGATAGATACTAACGGAATTTGATCGAGATGCGAACACATTGGAATAGATATATAGATATAAACTGACTGATATATAGTCGTCCATGGCGTTATAGGGAAGGTTTCAGACAATCCGTCCACTCCACCTGCTTTTTGCCGGAACTGAAGACTAAAAAGAAGACTAATTTTGTCTTTTCAGCCTAAATCTATGACAATGATATTGATTGATTCATTCGTTCTTGATGCCTTATCAACCCGTTACAGGTTATTTAAAGCCAGAAAATATTTTTAGGTTGTAAGAATATTTTTTAATATAATAATGGTTTAGTGATACAAGTTTTACTAATTAACCCATAGATGTGAGGAGAAGAAGTGGATTCATACCTTTCCCAAGAGTATTTACACGTACGGGAATATAACCAACCCAACGGGAATAGAAACCCTGCTCCCCGTTTAATAATTGCCATTATACATTACACCATCCCCGCATCCAAACTTACAGTACCTGGTATTCCCAGACGGTCACCCATCTAGTTACTGACCAGGCTCCACGTTGTTTAACCGGTGATTGTAGGGGAACCGGTTTTACAACGTGATATGGCCATAAGCCGGACAAATGTTATTAAGCTGTGAAATATCATGACATTCGTTAATTTTCAAAGCAAATAAGACATCATCTTCCTTTTTTTTTTTTCTTTTTCTTTCATTGAAACTTTACCTTCTAAAAGTTTTAGAAAAGTCTCATATGTGGCAAAATTCTGTAGGTTCGATTTCGGAAAATAAGTACAAATCATCGGCAATAAAATACAGTCCTCTGTATGATGATAAACTACATCCAGCAGCAAGGTCTCTGATCGGAAGATTGAAGGTTTTGAGGAGCGTGGAACCACCTCTTAATTACTGTTGTTCTTAGACCCACTTTGACCCGAGGTAGTAACACCTGTTAGAGCCCTGTATATGAGCAAATAGCGAACCCTCAAACAAAAAATAAAACACTATGAAACTATAAAAAACTCTTTTATATTAAAATTACTGGCAATACATTTTTATTTAATAAAAATTACCATCAATACATTTTTATAGTAAAATTAACAACAATACAATTTTGTAGTAGAACTACCAACAATACATTTTATCTGTAGTTGAAAGCATAAAATTACGTACAAAATATTTACATTTTCAGCATTAAATAGAGACAATATGCCACTAAACAAAATCAACCAACATGTTTATAGTAAATTTACCAACAATACATATTTAAAACAAAATGACCAACATTACATTTTATCTGTAGTTGAAGGCATACAATTGTGTTCAAAATATATTTAGTTGAAACCATAAAATTGTGTTCAAGATATTTAGATTTCGGCATTAAATGACCCATAGAGGTGTTGATACTTAACAAAATCAACCAAGCAACAAGCAAAAAAAAATGTATTAAAATCAAACCAGAAAAATATCAATTTATAGTAGGATAATAGGTGTAAAAATATTCATTTTATGATAGGGCCAGCTTAAAAAAAAATAGAATCTGAAATCTTTAAAACTTAATATTTGTCTTAGCCTCACAGCATTTTTACTATTTAATTTAACCACATCCAGATTTTTTTTTTTTTTTTTATTTTGAGGGCGATACGTGTAATTTATATATCTTATTAAAAAGAATACAGATTTTTATTTGTTTTTATCATTTCACCCCAAGCAAGGCAATAAAGCCATTAAGTTTCCTGAGTATGGAAGAATAAGAAATGAAAAACGTGAAGAAGCGAGGACAATAAAAGAACAGATATCAATTTAATAGATAACGATTAATATTTAATACTTTTGAAGATCCAGCTGACTGGAGAGCAAATCGTCGGAAAATGAAATTTATTATTCATTTTTTCTTAATATGCAGAGAACGTTTCGTAAGTATGGCTGTTGTGGAGGAAAAGAATAGCCAACAATCTGTATGAGGTTCAAAATTTCGACTCAATTTCTACTGCCTTGGATTTGGATTTTAAACAAGAAATAACGACACTTGTAAAACAAAGCGCTCCTTAAAATACATTTTATTTTCTTCTCTTTACTTAGGCACACTTCTAACGATGACCCACGTGAGTCGAAAGCTTGGCTCTAATACCAATTTTGATTATTTTATACATCTACAATGGCTACATATGCGAAAGGTTATTCGCATATTAGGGAAAATATACTCCGTCAACAAACATAAAAGGCCTATTCTTTTAATAAAACATATTTACAAGAAGAAATGTTCCTATATATATATATATATATATATATATATATATATATATATATATATATATATAAATAAAATAGGCTGACGAAAGAAATTCATGAAATAAAAACTATATTAATAATGATTTGTATATTAGTAGGTCTTTAGACCAAATAGAAACATAATGAGAAAGGATATTAAAAAAATCGAATTTTAAAAATAAATTCACACATTTTAAGTTTGAATAGGAATTTAGCTACACTCAATACAGAGTTCACAAAAAAAAAAACATCTACAAATCCTCTATGATATTAATCGGGGCAAACAACGTGTCCAAACAACTAAATTACATTTAGTGATATAATATATGCGAAAAAGAAATCCCAATCCCCAAAGTGACTTTGGCAAAGTCAATGTCATTTTATTTCTTTTTGGGAAAAAAAAAACAAAAAAAAAAAAAAAAAAATACGTGCCCAAAAATTCTGATTTTTAACATCTTTTGTCATCATGCTTCTATTTGGTCTAATATACAATAATTATTATTACTCTTCTTGTCATTATCATTTTTATTATTATTACTCTTATTATTATTATTATTATTTTATTATTATTAATCTTCTTGTTATCATTTTTTTTTTATTATTATTTTTTTTTTTATTCTCATTATTATTTTTATTATTACTCTTCTTGTTATTATCATTTTTATTATTATTAATCTTTTTGTTATTATCATTTTTATTATTACTTTTATTATTATGATTATTATCATTTTTATTATTATTACTCTTCTTGTTATTATCATGTTTTTTAAACCTTCGAATTTCTTTCATCGGACTACTATATGTACAATACATATAAGAAACATAAGCAAACAATCTTTCTTTTCACAAGAAAACTAACCTTTCCGTTACCTTTCTCTGTGTTTCAGGCAGTAAGCTGACATCTACTCTACAACACTCTCATATATGGAGATATATACAACTGTTGCTGATGAGGAAGCGAGAAAGAGAGAAAATATTTTATGTTTTAAATTGCTCTGTATTTTCCTTATTTGAAATTGCATTGAGCAATTTTTATTCGGAAACCCATTTTGGGGGGCCAATAATTATTTTGTCGATTTGGTTTGGAATTGAATTATATAAAGGGACAGAGTGAAATAAATATCTACGTAAGTCAACCGTTCCTACTCTGATTTCACTGTATTGGAATCAACTGGAAATGTTTTGGAATTGTTCTGAAGTTTACAAGTGAACAAAAATTGATTATTGCCAAAGTTGATCAAATCTGCCTATATCTGATAGATAATGAAATGAACAATATGGATAGATATATAGATAGATAGACAGTGGCAGAAGCAAGATAGATAGATAATAAAAGAAGCAAGATGGATAGATAGACAATAAAAGGAGCAAGATAGATGAATAAATAGATAATAAAAGGAACAAGATAGATAGATAGATAGATAGATAGATAGATAGATAGATAGATAGATAGATAGATAGATAGATAGGCAATAAAAGGAGCAAAGATAGACAAATAGATAGATAAACCGATAGACCATAAATGGCGTAAGTTAGATGGAAAGATAAACAGATAGACAATAAAAAGAGCAAGATGGATAGATAATGAAAGGAGCAAGATTCATAAATAGATAATAAAAGGAGATAGATAGATAGATAGATAGATAGATAGATAGATAGATAGATAGATAGATAGATAATGAAAAGAACAAGATAGATAGATAGATAGATAGATAGATAGATAGATAGATAGATAGATAGATAGATAGATAGATAGATAGAAAACATACTGGATTGATAGATAGACAATGAAAGGAACAATGATAGATAATGAATGGAACAAAATGGATAGATAGATAATTAAAGGAACTGGATAGATAGATAGATAGATAGATAGATAGATAGATAGATAGATAGATAGATAGATAGATAGTGAAAAGAACAAGATAGATAGATAGATAGATAGATAGATAATGAAAGGAACATGATAGATATATACTAGTTTTTAATTGAACTAACAAACACGTCACATTTCATGAATAGTTTACTTTGATAGATTCCTACAAACAACGTAATTATTTGAGTGACATTTAATTGAACAAATAACATTTAATTGGATAAATAACATAATTTAATAGATATTAATAATTTTATGAAGGTGCTGACACTTAATTTGAGGAATAGGATAATTGTCCAAGTTTTTTTTTAAACTTTCAGATTTTCGGATCTGATCACAGAATTATTTGCATCATAAAAAAAAGGCTTTTTCAGAAAAAAATCGTTAATTACTTTAAAAAATTCTGTCTGTAAAATCAACACGAAGAGACTCGCAATAATGTTCCTGACTTGCTGTTTATGTAACCTATGATGTCGTAATGCTTCTGGTGTAGGGCCATCCGTGGGTGGGTGAGACTTTCGAGTCCAACCGACAATATGAAGAGGATCTGCGACGTGCTGGAGGGCGCAACTTGCCCAACCCCGTTCACCATCTACACTCCTCTGTGACTCCTGCTGACGACCCTTCAAGGAGTAGGCTAAGCCTTCACAGCCATCTCTGTCACTGCCACCAGAGGGAAGAAAGGGAATAAGGAGAGAGGATGATGATCCCAATGATCGGATGCGAGCGGGTGCCGACGATGATGTCGTAATCAAGACACATTTAACAAGCAACCCAAAAACTTGGCATCAAATAATTTTGAAAGTATTGGACTTATGTTTCCATAATATTAATGGGAAATATGATTATGCCCTAAAATGAATACTTATTCCCTTGAAATTTGTTTCGGCCTATGCTATGATATGTTTGTATGCTATGTTTTGGAAATATTTATACAAGGTGCGATGAGTAAATTGTCGTCAAAATTACACAAAAATAAAAATAACACTGACATCTCATTTCAACAGATATGTTCACGAAAATTACACGAAAATATCTTAAAACACGAAAGATTAAATTTATTCAATAAAATCGCCATTGACTTCGGAACCTCCTGCATCTTTTCTGGACGGTCTCCTTGTTTAAGTTGAATGCTTCCATAATGCTTATCTTCAGTTCATCTTTGGTATCACAAAGAGTTTTATTGGTCGCTCGCTCAACTGCGCCCCACACAGGGTGTTGCAATTTGAGGAGTTAGGTGTCCATATGTAAGAGGTGATGGGGTTGCAGAAATTGCCTGACCGTCATGACTGGGTTCTCCTGCTTGTGTGGTATGATGCAGAGTCCTGTTACCAGACATAGGGTCTTCCAGCAACCACACTCTTGACCCAAGGCAGCACTACATTACTTGATGTAGGCTTCCGTGTTGTGTCTGAGGCCCTCACCAACAACTTTGAGAGTTCTTTTCTTATCAGAACGATCAGAGTGAGTTTTTTTTTTTAGCAGCCGTACCTCCGTAAACACCATTAGACTCATTCAACTCTTTCAGAATCCTCTTCATTGTCTTCAGATTGACACACAAACACTCTGAATGCCAAGCAGTACAGCATACCGTTTCCAAATTTCTATCAGATTGCTCTTTTTCTCACAGACGGTGCCCATCTGACCTTAGTATACTGTGCATTCGACGAAATTAAAAAAAAAATCCAACGCGTATACACGAAATTAAAAATATAAAATGACGACAATTTACCCATCGTCCCTCTGTGTGTGTGTGTGTGTGTGTATATATATATATATATATATATATATATATATATATGTGTGTGTGTGTGTGTGTATATATATATATATGTGTGTATATATATATATATATATATATATATATATATATATATTTATATATATATACACACACACATGAAAAAAACTTTTTACCCATAATAAGTGTATATAAATTAAAAAAAAAAACGAGAAGTATACGCAGCCAATTGATGATACCCCTGAGGAGTAGACGGAGCGATTCCTTGAGTGTTCGTCTACGAAACTCTGGGATCGGGATGCTGAAGATAACATCAGTCATCTAAGTGACAACGTTTTACTTGTATATATATATATATATATATATATATATATATATATATATATATATATATATATATATATATATATGTATGTATGTATGATCTTAAAAAGGTCAAAAGTACTTACATTAAAAACAAACGTACGGCGCCTTCCTTGATGAATTTCACCTTAACATCAAGAAACTGATTAGACGACTGGAAAGGATCAGTATAAAAATAAGTATATATCTTTATTATTCAATGAAACGTGTTTAAATGAAGATATGCTGCCTAAATATATATAATGTATTTATATATTATAATATCAAAAGGTTTATGCAATTGGTATCTGTCTATATTTCTGAGATGAAGTATTATTTACACTATTTACACTATTCGGACTATTGTCCTCATCTTTGTTGCCATATTTATTACAACGTTTCGGCCGTTGTACGCTCCGGCCTTCTTCAGGTGGTAGAAATGTCGAACTGAACCCTTTATTTCGCTCACTGGTGTAGACAGTTCTAGTTCCACGTGCCATGTTTTAATGGATGTCAGTTATCAATTATCTCCTGTTAATTCCCCTCTTCAAGTTCTCCACTGCCTTAACCAGATATTGAACTCACACTCTTTGGATCCTGTCACTGGATCTAACTAACGCCTTTATCCACTGTGCCAGGTGAATTGTGCATTTTCTGATTTATATTCAAACTGGTTGGTTAGTCAATTTAACAATAAATCAACTTCTGTTTAGTTATTTAATGTCGCAATATTCTTTTTTAACGGCAGCAAAATACGAGGCTAACTGGAAACAGCTAAAAATTAATGCAGATTTCTTTCCACACTACTTCAAATAAAGGTTAGGAGATCCATCATTATTAGCTTGAGTTAACGGCCCTAAATTGCGACACCCATAATGCATTTGTGACCCTATGATTGCGACACCCATAGAGAAGAGGTAGATTTTTTTTTTTTTTTATCTAGATTTCAAGTTTTCATTTCTTACCGGTGGATGGGGCCTTTCAAGTGTATATATATCCTTTTAAAAAAAAAGTCATCTTGTAGAACAATTTTCTCCACAAATATTTTTTCTATTTTGCATAATATTTCTTCATTGGGGACTGAAGGCCATATCACGTTAAAATACCGGTTCCCGTATGATCACCGAAGTTAAGCAACGTCGAGCCTGGACAGTATCTAGATAGGTGACCTATTCGAAATATCAGATGCTGTAAGCTTGGATGTGCGGGTGGTGATAATGGGACGGAATTGTTAATCGAAAAGCTGAGTTCCAATTTCAATTACGCGCAAATACCCTTGGGACTCTTTTCTCATCAGCTATGAGTTACTTAGACTAATAATTTAGCTATAAAAGTCTATCTCAGAAAAAAAAAATGAATTCTTGCAATCTAAATATATTTTATGGCTTTAACTAACCCGGAAAACGGATGATAAGTCGGAAAAACGAATTAATCTACGAAAAAAAAAAACCAAAAAAAAAAACAATTTCTTCACTGGAAACTTGCCGGAAAAAAATTAAATTTGTTTTTTTTTTTTTTTTTTTTTTGCCTTTTGCGTTACTAATTGCTCATGACCGCTGTCGCTGATAATAAAACTGGTTGCACGTGAATAACAAATTTTTCGTTGATTGTAAAATGGATATTTCTTTTAAAATTCATTCATTATGCGGAGCTATGTTTTGTTTTTAGTAAGCCAACCAGTTCACCATTGAGGGAGTCGAAGAACTAATGTCGTGGTTTGTTAGTATTTAGACATGTAAGTCACCAAAGTAGGGGGGGGGATACTTGTTTACAAATGGTTATCTTCGGATAACGTCCTTAAATCCAAATATACACCAATTTATGGCCTTTTTAAAAATGAATGAAAAGATAATTCATGTATGCACTAATAGACATTTATATCTCTCAAAATAAGAAAACATACAATAATATTTAGAGTTCATAAGTTCCTATCAGAAAGTTCTTGTGTTGAAAGTCTTTATGTCTTTTCAGTTGTATGGATATGAGTTTGTGATTCTGTCTAATGATCACAAAAGAGTGAAACTCAGGGTCACAAACTCATATCCATACAAATGAATATATTAGCTATATCACTAATATTTAGCGCTTTCCATTGAGTAATGCACATACAGAATGATATATATATGTTTTGAAATGGACAAAGTCAGACAATTATTTTAAGACATTTTATGTTTATAGATACAAATATTAAGTAAATGCACTGCTTATAATAAACAGTATTAAATAACATTTACCGGCCTGAATGTCCGAGAAATTTTCATAGAAAATATGCGTCCTCCAACAGGAATCGAACCTGTATCTTATACGGAACCGTCATATAGCTTGACGTGCTTTTATCGATTTCACCACAGAGGAGCGTTCGGTTAGCAAAGCCGATTTTACTGTTTTTGAAGACAATTTTCCATGATTTTCTCTCATTCATTCATATCTGCTCAATGCGTATCCAAATGTAAACAAATGACTTTATACAATATGAAATGGACAAAGTCCGACAATTTTTTAAGACATTTTTATGTTCCTACATTCTTTTTATAGATACAAATATTTAAGTAAATGCTCTGTTTATAATAAACAGTATTAAACAACATTTACCGGCCTGAATGTCCGAGAAATGTTCACAGAAAATATTTGTCCTCCGACAGGATTCGAACCTGTATCCTATACGGAACCGTCATTTAGCTTGACGTGCCTTTAACATATATTTTCTAATAATTTTTTAAAAATTATATTAAAAAAATATGATTAAAAAAGAAAATAATTATAATTAATATGCTCTACTGTTTGTATCGTGCACTGTTTTTTTTAAATAAAATAATTGATAATAACACCGGATTATAAATCTTACTATTCTTTCTTATTATATATATATATATATATATATATATATATATATATATATATATATATATATATATATATATATATATTTAAAATAGCTTCAAGATAGGACATCTAACGTAGACCTGTTTAACAGGTGTAATATTGGAGGAATCGAGACTTTTATCATACAGTTTCAGTTACGGTGGACTGGTTATGTCTTGAGAATCTCTGATGACAGGATACCCAAGATCCTAATGTACAACCAGTTAGATCAGGGCTACAGGAATGTAGGACGCCCATGGCTAAGATAAAAAGACAAGCTGAAAAGCAACTTGTCAGTAGTTAATATACCACATAACACCCTACTTGAGCGCTTAGCTTTGGAGCAGGTAGAAAGGAGATCAACGTGTTTAGTGGACTCAGCAATTTTCAGTCTGCTTGTTTGAATCATCTTCAAGAAGCGAGAGCAAGATCTAAAAGGTCAGACAATCTAACAGTGATCTCATCTCACAATTCTCACACCTGCTCCATATGTGGACTCCTTTGTAAATCACTAGCGCGTCTTAAATTCCACTTAAGATTATCGCATAAACTTTCATAAGTGAATCAATAAGCTGGCAGATCTTCATACGTCGAAACCGACGGGAGAGTCCATTATTATTATTATTATTATTATATATATATATATATATATATATAACACCGGATTACAAATCTTACTATTCTTTCTTGTTATATATATATATATACAGGGTGTCCTTAAAGTTCGTGTGAACTTTAAAAAATTTATAACTTTATTTGTATTTGCGATAGAAATAATCTGTAAAAAATGTTATAAAGTTTAATGTACCTAGTTTTAAGTATAGCTAAAATAACTAATGTGATTTCAGGCATTACTGTAAAAAATCAGTTGGCAAATGTTTTCCGTGAACTGCAAAATCGTATTACCCTTTGTATTGCTAATGATGGGGGACATGTGGAAACATAAATAAAATTTCAATAAAACTTTAAAAAATATAGATTTACTTCTTTCTAATCTTTTTTACAAATTATTTCTATCGCAAATACAAATAAAGTTATTAATTTTTTTTTCCTCTGCAAAGTGCGAACCGGCTCGGCAGCACGAACTCTATGGACACCTTATCAATTCACCCACAGGAATTGAATGCGGCTCTCTCTCTCTCTCTCTCTCTATATATATATATATATATATATATATATATATATCCCAGCCTGACGATTGCATATAGCATGAAAACAGACTGTCGCCTCTAAGTGTTGACTTCTATGTTCACTTTATATATATATATATATATATATATATATATATATATATATATATATATTTATATATATATGATAGAGAGAGAGAGACAGGAACAGAGACAGAGAGATGAGGAGTGAGTCTTTGTTAATGTATATATGTATTTCTTGATAATCAATTCTTTCAACTCTCTCTGTGGGATTTTTAGGTGTCCGAAGCTTTAGACAGAGGATGAAATTCTTTTCAGCGGCTGGTCTGGTCTGTTTGCCCGCTCGTCACTGTCTGTCTTAACACTTTTTTTTTTTTAAGACAATAGAATTCATTTTCGAATTGTTCTTGATTTTGATTGGTTCCAGAAATGACTCATTTAACGACAATCCGATTTTCTTCAGCCACATCTAGGAATAATAACGTTTTGGCCTCTTTTACCTATTTCTTATCTTTTTGTTTTTATTACTTTATGGAAAACCAAAATTGTTTGCCAACTTTTAGCTTTTTTTTTTTTTTTTTTTTTAAATAGTGATCTTTTTTTATTTTTCTCTCACTACAACCATCAATACAAAAAGGAACAGTTTTCATGTCGTTATAAGTAATCTTGAACTTTTGCCCACCAGTGACGTGTACTTCAGATAATATAAATAACCGTATTTTACCTGTAACACCTGTCTCGTGCACCCTCACAGTTTGATACCCGCCACACCGAATCTATGAAATTTTCATAAGCTAGTATTCATATAAAATACTAATTTCGTTGTAACCTATAAATAAAAGAACTTTTTTCTTTTTTTGTGTGTGTGTGTGTGTCCTGTCTTGGTTGACAATGATGGTAACAGATTTTGCTATTAATACTTGCTTGGTCTATAAAGAAGGTATCTTTCCTGTCAATATTTGTGATATACCAGTAACGTGGTAAAAGTAGGTTCATGCCTTTTCAAAGGGATGAACTTAAGCAGCCCGAGCCGAAATTCGAACTCAGTTTGAAGATTACACATTACCTCCTGCTAACAGGCCACTTTGCAACTTGAACAGCTAATGCATATAATTTCTAAGCCTGGCCTGTGCATGGGTTTCGTATCCACCCCGCCCCGAATCTATGATACGGGGCTTCCCACTCTATTACATCACAATATTCATAAGGAAGTATTTATTTAAAATACAAATTTTATTGTAACCTAATTATGTACAATAATGGAGCATATACAATATAGGTGAACAATTCAACTAGAAAAATTGAAAATAAATACAATGTATCTAAATACAAATTAGAGATGTTTCGCGGCAATTTTTAACATCAACTTGAGATTTTTCTTGTTAAAAACTTGAATAATTTTAACATATTCAACATTATGGATAAAGATATTGAATTTTAGCGTTTTTTCGAGACTTACATGAGCAAAACAAATTCACAGATATGAACAAAAAAGACCTCAGAATGACGTCAAAATCAGCAAAGAATTTTTCATCCATTAATAGTCAATTATGCTTAGTTCAATTTGTAATGTATATAAATTTAGGTAGAAAAAAAGCGTGTGTTGTTAAGATAGCAAGGGACCACAAAGCACTGCCTGGGGGGCCCAATCAAACCCCCTCACACCGGCCTTGAATACCAGTTCTACACATACGCGTAGGTAGATATACTTATCTCGCAATTGTTACTTAGCAATATTATGAAATAAAATCCTACCTTCCATGCATCTTAACACCGAAAAGAAAATGCTTGTATTACTTATATTTCTCATTAACATATTAATATACCTCATTAATATTAATTGATAGCATATGAATTAACAGATCACGATATCTATCTGAGATTAAATTGTTTACGAGTTATCTGCCCTTGGTTTAAGTAATTTGTTAAATCGCGACATCTATCAGAGAGATGAAATTTAAATTTTTATTATTTCATTATTCCTAAATTTACGTACATCAACAAATAGCTATTAATGTCAACAGCTGATCACAAACAGTTATTAATTTTTTTTAAAATAGTAATTATTGTCTAATATGATCTATAACTACATATACAAGAATGTCGTTTTTGATAAAAGTTTAAAACTAACCATAAAAACATAAAAAATGCGTATATTGTCGAAAATTCCTTTTTCCACAGT